TCAGTTGACATGGGGAATGACTTTTCCTCCGCATCAACCATTTCATCGGCCTCCAATGACCCAAATGACCTGTCATAATTATATACCATCATCAGAGTCGGAGTCAAGTTATCCTTCACAATCTCCGAAACATATGACGTTCCCAACGCAACCGCTAGGAGGCAGCTATTTACAGTCTAAACTAAAAGGAACATGCGCAGTACCGCGCACATCCGGGTCCTCTTCCATCACAGCTCGCCCGAGAGGTAGGGGTGACGCGGGTTGAAGGGCATGCGCACAAGTTGCTGGGTGAGAGACCTCAAAATTAAAATGAGCTAAAGAACTTTAAAACCCTTTCTTGGGTGGGATTTTTGTTGAATTCTTGGCATTTTTGTGGTGGGTTGTACAGTGTAGGGTTTTGAAAAATGAAGTTTTTCCATGAAATTGCCTTGTTATGGGCTTGTCTGTTGCCATACACCCCTCCTGCCTCCTGCCTTGGTATCGACCTAGAATATGGGGTCAAAGTGCACGAATTCTTATAAGCAAGGCTGTACCTCGAGAATAGCCGACCAATTTTCTCCTAAACTTGTTGTAGGTACATATTATTAAATTGGCCAACACGTGAAGGTGAGTTTGTGTGACAAAAACTTCGTAAACTAGAGATATGATGCCCATTTTCATGTCTGATTTAGCATATGTTTCAATGGAGAACCCTTTCAGTGATGTCTCCCCGGTAGGCTTTGTAATCAGGTTTTAGGGGTCAGAGGTTAAGACCCCGGATGTTTCAAGTTAGAACTTGTTACTGTTGAGACGTTCGTTCGCGTTGAGTTTAGTTAGAGCGTGCACGCTAGTTAGAGAGAGATTCGCGTTATACATGCCGTCTGGACTGATCCAAGTCAAGTTAAGAACCCAAGGGAACCCGCAAGATCAAGGTGACACTATTCTCTCTTGTTACAGCATTGTTGTTTTATCCACTCGGATAAAAAGCGCGTTTTTCGATTACCTTACAGTCAGTTACTCTTTTGTAGTGTCGATGTCACAACAAGTGAATACCGGTGCTCCTCCTGGGACCGCTGGCCCAAATGATATTTCTTCCACGGATTCCGTGCCGGAAGGTGTACGATCGAATGCTGTCCCTCCCACAGGGAACCTAGCACATGGCGTCCACCCCGCCACCATAAGCTATGATATTCTGGAGTACAGATTGTTCTACATCACTGTTCCCCATGCAAGAACCAAACGGCTGCAACAGTCGTTCCTGCACCACACCATTAGACTACAATAACCTACCTTGAACCTACACTGGATCTTGCATAGCCTTACCAAGTAACTTTGTGCATATCTGTTGTAAATAATTTTTATATGTGTCTTTTGTATATATGTTACTTTATTTTTTTCAAGTGAACGTCGGTTTTCAAATAATGTGACAAATTGTACCTAATTCAGGGGGGTTCGCTTCTGCTCCCCCTGCTGTTGTACATTTGTAAAATGATGATCGGTAAATAATTTTTTTAAGGAGAAGACTGCTGTAAACTTGAATTTTGTATGATTTTAACATGATCATGAATGACATTACTATGTAGACCATCTCTTATCTGTATTGTAAGTTGGTGATTCTAGCTGTTGTTAATCTGGAGTTGAAGGTAACTGATTCTTTCTCATATTGCATCTTCATTTGTTTTGGCTTAAAAACCCATACATAGGTCGTTCCAGAAAAAGAGCAACCTGTGGACATACTACAAAGTGAAAGAGCCGAAGAAGTAGAGCTACATCGGAGAGCTCCAAGGGAACATTGTAAAGAGGAGGATCGACTCCGGCAGAGGTATAAAGCGGAAGCAGCCCATGTCAGAGACTGACCCGAGGAGGCTGGGTCCCCTACCAAACCATCCAGCACCACCAACCGCTTTGCTGGTCCAGCAACACCGGTCTAGGATGGAACTAGAGTACTAGTTAATTCTCAGTTAACGCAGGAACATTCATATCCGAATCAATACTAAAGCGCCATCACATTGTAAACTAGAATTCCTGCAGGAATGAACATGTATGTAGCTACAAGCTCTGAGGTAAAAAGGAATTCAATAAGGTCCAACAGATCACAAAAGCTTGGGGATCCCTACGTGGGACGACAAGTGCAGTCAATTTCGCGCGCTTCCGTATTTCCCTGTTTTCGTTAAGCAATGTTGACATGCTGGTTTGCTCGGGTAGCTATCAGTCATTTTGTAGTGGATAAGACCGCGAAAGGTAATTCTGAAAGGCACAGTCGGTACGTGGAGACTCTAGGAAAGAACGTTGATATTAACATAAAGATGTTTAAGAAGACTGGACTCCGCGTCGCGAGAAGGAATCAGACACACGGGTGACCCGCGCACAGAGAACTGTCCAAAACACACTTCCCAGAACCTCTCTCTCTCTCTTAATTCATTCATACATGTTAATTACTTGTATGGCTTCGGTGCCAACGTCTTGACACTGCATAGCACTACACCGAGGTACACCAAAATGGCGGCCGCCTGTATTACGCAAGCCCCGTGACGTCACGTGAAAGCCGAGAATCTTTCTTTTTCTCCTTCCGTTTCGTCTCTTTCCTAGCTTTGTCCTCTGCCTTTCTATTTTTCTCCTTCCGTTCCGTCTATTTCCTAGCTTTGTCTCCCTCTGCCTTTTTTCTCTTTCGAATTCCTTCAAAGTTGATGTCTCTATTTCTCGTTTTCTTTCTCTTCCGCTTCCTCCTTTAATAGGAATCGCAGTTGCGATAAAATCAAATTTTGACCATTCTGCACAGCTTAAAGGGGCCAAAAGGACCAAGGTTTGACCAACAAAATGGCGGATGCCTAATCGTGCACTCTGATTGGTCAAATCGCAAAGTTCTAAAATTCGACCGGAAAGGGAACAGATCGTTTTGTTGCCGTGTATTTTTCAGCACGTCATCAATCGAGCTGGTTGGTTGTGATTTATGTAGCTCTTTCCCAGACCTTGCAAATTTTTCTCGTACCATTCCCTACTACCAACTTCAGTTGTAAAAAGGATTGGTTTTAAATTGCTGTGAATGTGACTTTTATTTAAGAAATATTTATTTTTAGTGAATTAACCCATGCTTTGTCCACGGTGGGCCATGTTTTGGATTAGTAAAATACAATGTGTCCAGAGACGCCCGTATCGGCTTTTCTTGACTTCATCATCGGCTTTTCTTGACTTAACTCTATTTGGCGCACTACGATTCTGTGTGTCTTAAATATTTTGGTGGATATAACGCTGTTATCAACGTGTTTTGAAAAAGTAGACCGGTCCTATTCCTTACATTAACCCTTAACTTTCTCATAGGAAGTTCGAAATTTTATCATCATCATTGAAATTTGCTACTACATTAACCTTAGACGGGCGAGAGGCAGAAACTGTAGTCTTGTACGTATCAGTGGTAACATCTGGCCACATCGCTGGTAATTGCGCCATGACGCGCACACTACTGTATATCAGGTTACAGGCGGTAATGTTGCCAACTATGTGGTTCCCGCCAGCATGGTATACGGCATTTTAATTGGTCCTCGCCAAAATGCAGATAACTTGAATATGACAGAACGAGTTGTGGGCGAGGGGCCGGGGCCCATTGGCGATCTGGTACACTTCCCTTCAAGTGCTACTTGAGGAAGCTTACTATTTAGGTAGTAAAGTGCAAAAGGTGAGATCATTCAATGATTTTTAATAGAACAACTTTGAAGTAGAATTAGTAAGGCGACGTTTCAGGGAGGTGGTGGGGGGGGGAGGTTAGGTATGTGATTCATACCTAACCGCCATATCCAATGCACCAGCCCCAATGTTCCTTGATAAGCTATGGCAGGAAATTAGTTGGCAACAGTATTACTAGCTTTGAGGTTAATGGCAGAACTTGGATTTAAACGACCATTTTCTGTTACTCGTTCCATTTGGATTAAACATGCTAATATCTATTATGTATTCTGCACATGAAACACGTAACATCCATTGACCTTTATCCGTCAAAGTACCTTTATCCGTCACGCTAGAAAACGGTGTACAGCGAGAGATATACCAATGCACTATCAGTTATCCCTTTAGGTATGCACAGGTTGAACACCCAGGAGTTCAGTACCGTGCCGCGTGGGACTTGGCACTCATGCATACGAAGAGGACGAGGTCAGACAATTATTGGCCTTTATTACGACGGCCGAACTACGCCGTGGGAGGGAGACATCGTGCCCTTGTTTACAGGAATAGCAGACAAATATCGCTCGTACCTTCAGTTTAACATACTGGTGAACAAGAAAGCTTAATAAAGTTTCCTTTCCTAACCTTAATCTGCTGGCGTGCTGTGATTTATCAATAAAAAACGTGCTCTTATTGCGACTACATTTCGTTATTTCCGACGCAAATGGAACGCCGCCATGTTTCTTACCCAGAAGGCTTTGGGCGGGTCTAGACTTAGAACTTCGGACGACAAAGGTTTGTAGTAAACATTTTTTTGCCTTATTTTATTGTATAAAGGGATGAATAAGGTGACAATTTCGTTACATTATGCTCTAAACGCATTCAGGGACTCAGAGAGACGCTTAATATGTAACTATAAAAGGAATAATGTGGATTCTTGTTGCGATTTCGATATGGATCGCTAGATGGCTCCATTTTGAATTAAGAGGACGGTGTATTTCAAGGTTAGGTGAGGTATTGTCCAATTTCGGACTGTTGACGCCACACAGTATCGCTCCATAACTTTTCCGTGTGCTCTGTTTAATGTAATACAGAAGTGATAACAAACTGGTAGATTTTTGAAAATGAATGAATAGCAAGTTGGTTACCATTCAAGGACTTTGAGAGCCATAGAACCTTTACGTTGAACGAAGATTACTCATAATTAAGATACTAGTAAGTTAAGATGGCTGATTTGTTAGTATAACAGAATAAATGAATGAATGGTCGGATAAATGAATAAAAGAATGGCACTGCATTCCACCAATGTTACCATATAATGACTTACAATAAAATTTTCAGAACATGGAAAATTCGAGAAAAAACGGAAAACCTGGGACGCAAACTTAATGCAGAGCGTGTTAGACGATGTTAATGAAAATCACCTAACGCCAACGCAGGCTGCCAAAAAACATGGAATTCCCCGGACAACCCTTACTGACAAAATAAAGGGTAAAAGTCAAGTGAACGCACGAAACGGAAGGCCACACATCCTCTCCAAGGAAGAGGAGGAAAGTCTGGTGTTTTACATCAAATACCGCGTTGACAGGGGATTCCCCATTAGTAAGAAGGCGATTCTCTCACTGGCCCTGGCAACCCACTTGCGGCGTTGCGAAGAGATGGGAATGACACCCAAGGTTAATCGGAAAAAGGGGCTGTCTCAAAAATGGTGGAAAGGGTTCAAATGCCGTAACAACCTGACCATAAGGAAGCCTTCTCCGCTCGACCGCGGGAGGAAAGATGCTGTTGACGAGAAAGTGGTGAAAGAGTTCTTCGAGTTGTACAGAACAAGGATCAGCGACAATGGCTTGACAGGCCAAGCCCACCGAGTATATAACGTAGACGAGACGGGTTTCGATCTTGATCCACAAAAGAAGAACGTGGTAACGTTCAAAAAGATGGGGGCGCCGGCTGCTTCGGTAAGAAAGGGCACGAGAGATCATA